TTCCTGTGGTCAGGACACTTGTTGCCCACAACAAATTCTCAGCCCTGTACCGCTATCAGGAGTGTGAGCAGGTTCCAGACTCCGTTTCTCCACATCCATCTCCACCCCTCAGCCCTCCGCTGCGTCACTGGGAAACCATTCTCTTGGTCTTCTGTACTTTTCTCTGCTGTCATCTCTCGTGTCCCCATTGCTCTTGCTAATGTTTCTTCTGGAAAATATAATGCTTTCGTTTTTCTGCAGTGACCATCCTGGTGTGGGTCACGCTCAGCCCTCGGGTCAGTACGAGCATGTGTTTGAGTCAGACCCGGAGGCAGGATCTGGGGCTGAGATCCAGACTTGGTGCTGAAAGCATCCCAGCAGACAATGCTATGTCCTGGGAACACGGGCTAAGGCCAGCTCTGGGGTGTAGACACAGAGGTCTCCCTGAGACCCATCCATCCTATGCCCAGCTCCCTCTGTGACCACCCAGAGCCCTCATCTTGCCTGAACTCGCAAACCCGCACTCGCAAACCCTCTCTCATGCCCAGCATTCCACCAACTGATTTTGCCCACCTTCCCGATGTCATCTTGCTTCTAGATAGGCCTTGCAGTCAGTCTACCTAACTTGGAAGGTGCCCCCAACTCCTTGCCCCCCTCACTCTCTACCCCCATCCACGGAACACACCTAGGACCTTGCATCCCACGCCCCCACCCACAGAACGCAGCTGGGCCCACACACCCGCATCCACGGAACGCACCCAGGCTCACATAAAGGAAACAGGGGATCTGGACCTGAGCTCCTGCAGAACTCTCCTCACCTTTCCCTCCATTGTCTCACTTCCCAAGCCGCACCCCCCACAAACCAAACACCATGCACTCATGTGCTGCCTCTTCAGCTCAGACCCCCCAGCACACCTCGGGCCCCAGCCACACCCTACTGGCAAGGCCCATCTCCCTCCAATCACCCCCACCCACCACATGTTGTCGCAGACCCCGTGTCTCACCCGTGTCAGCCTTCCCTCTTGGGAACGTGATCCCGTGCAGACTAGCCCCCCCATTAGAGTAGCGCCCCCGTCTGCTTTCGGCTTCCTACGTGCTGTTCCTGCTCGTGATGCCTGGTCTCTACCGCTCCTGACCCACATGCCTCCACCGCGCCTAACCGGGGTGATCGTCCCCGGATCGGCGCAAATGCCCAGTGCATTCGAGGCACCCCCGGCCCAAGCACTGTGCGATTATTACCCCGTTTCACCCTGACAAGTGTGTGCACTGATGTGCGTCCACCTGTCGTACAAGTGGAGACACAGAGACAAAGAAGCTAAATCACTTGCCTAAAGGTGCGCAGCTAACGTCCAGGTCATGAACTTGGAGAGAGTATTTGAACTTCTCCAACCTCTCCAACGCTTCGTTTATTCAGCGGGTACTGACTCAGCTTCTCCTTTAGCACAGACCCCCTTTTTGAGCAGCGGGAAATGGCTCTGGGTCCGCGCAGGCTTTGCTCTGTGCTCCCCACCCCCCCCCCCGCCCCGGTTATTATCGTGGCCCTGCTTCAGTCTGGGGGACACGGTGATGTCGGCTCTCCTGGAAGCTTTCTTTATGTGTAAACTGGGGATGATATGACCTACCTCCCAGGGTCCTCTGAGGGCTAAGGTAACACTCTTCGCCTGGGGGCTCAGTACACCTTGGGCGCTCAAACAATGCTCACTGTACATACTATACCTGCTCACTAGGGCCAGTCCCCAGCACGGCCCCCCTGACAGGTCTTCTGGGGGCCTCAGAAAGCTCCAAGTGTCACCCACAAGAAGACACGTGGGAGAAGGACCAGCTTGTCACCGAGGCTCATGCCACGTTACCTTGGAGCATCGAAGGACTCATCTTTAAAGTCCATACGAGAGGGACGCCTGGGTGGCTCAGTTGGTTAAGCAGCTGCCTTCGGCTCAGGTCATGATCCCAGCGTCCTGGGATCAAGTCCCACATCAGGCTCCTTGCTCAGCTGGGAGCCTGCTTCTCCTTCTGCCTCTGCCTGGCTCTCTGCCTGCCTGTGCTCACTCGCTCTCTTTCTCTCTCTCTAGCAAATAAATAAATAAAATCTTTAAAAAAATAAAAAAATAAAGTCCACATGAGGGAAATATACCTGCTGGGTAAACAGAGGCCCTGGGAGTGCCAGCACCCCCTGCCAGCTCTTTCCCAGAGCGGCTGATCCCTCGGACTCGGTCTCCGAGGGAGATTTGCATGCCTCATTTACTGCACAAAATAGAAAGAGTAGCCCTCACGTTTCACTCAAAGGCATTCACTTGGGGTTTTTATTTATAATCCTGCACATGTTTGTGCACAAACAGACATGCCAGCCAGGAAGCCTGGGCCCAGGTGTACACACACAACACACGCACACGCACACACACACACACCAGGAGCAGCGAGGTTTGTTTGTAGGAAGGCAGTTAAAAGTCAGTCCGTTCACTGTTTCTACAAGACAAGAAGCTATCAACCTTCCCATTTTTGATTCCAGAAACCATCCTAAAATAAACATCTAGTCACTTCAATCAGCTCTCAAAGTCCTGCACCGTAGTGCACGCGGTATAAACTCTAGCATCTTTCTTGCTTTGCTCTTAGTTAACCTAAGAATTGGAAAATGGAGGGGCAGCAAAAGAGAATGACATGTGGCCTCCGAAACTGACTGACACCCGAAGTGGCCCCACCTGGACAGGACAGGATAGGAACTCTGCCCCCCCCCCGCCCCCGCTATTTGGGATATACTGGGTCTGCACAATCCACTGAGGGACCCTATGAGGCTTGGTGTTCAGATCAACTCACAGGGGTGGGGCTGGGGGACAGAGAAAATATCTTAATATTTTTTCATTGATGCCTGTGGACCAAGAGATAGTGGAAGAGATCTATGGAGTGAGAGAGGCCCCAAGTGAGGTTTTTCTTTGTACTTAAAAACCCAACCACACTGGTCGAAATCCTGCAGAAATCCTGGGATGTTTCAAAGTAACTCTCTGTCAATACATTTATTTCTTTTTTCATTTTTATTATCTTGCAGGAGGTGCGTTCCCTGGCCATCCGTTCTTTCTCATTCCATCTCTCTCCTTTAAAAAGAACGGGAGGTCCTCTCCCTTCCATCTACATAAGTACTTTATGAACAAACCAACAGAGTTCCTTGCTGGAACTCTCTGGAGCCTCTCCATGTTAAGAACAAAGCCTGAAACAATGTTGCAGGTTACAGCTCATAAGTCACCCAAATGGTGGGAAGATTTTTGTTGGGAGCACAGAAGTCAACTGAAAGAAATGGAGAATGTTCTCTGGCTAGAAGGGTCTGTGCCTTTTAATTAATTAATTTAATAGAGAGGGGAGGTCAGGAAGGAAGCACCCTTTGTAACTTCTCAGGCAGTGCCGGGGTTTGGGACAAGAGGGCACTGGAAACACACAATGAGTATACTGTGAAATGTGACATTTCACGGGGGAATAGGTTGCAGAATTCCCAGGAATTTTGAGAATCAGTAAGGTGACTTCCAAGAAATTTCCAGGCTGCCAAGAAGTGTCCAGGCCACATCACTAGACATCTTGAGAATATCCATTCCTTTCTGTGTCTATAACCGCCCAGGAGGATTTCGAAGTTAAAACTTGAAAATTCTTTAAGGGAAGAGAATGTCTTTGGTAAGTTGGCTGTGTATCTCAATTCCAAGCTCCCCTCAGAGCCATCCACTCTGGCCTCTTCCTCGACCTCATATAAAGCCCTCCCAGTAAAGCCCCCTTCCAAACTCTGAGATATGTAGGATTGCTTTCTGAGAGGTCCTTAACCTAAACTCACTGTGTGTTAGAGTACAGAAGGCGTGAAAAGAGATTAAAACCTCTTTTCCCTCTACCATCCAAAAACACTCGTCATCTATAAAAATGCTACGTCTCCAAAACTCAGATGCCAGCCCTCCATTGAACTTACCCTTTGTTATGCTCATTCTTGAAAGGGAACCTACCCCATCAGTCCAAAGCCACACATGATATGAACATGTTCAGGATAACGTCCCAAGAAGACAGTATTTATGTCAAGTTTTCCTTTGACAACTGTCACCATAAAGTTTCTCACGTTACCACGAAGAAATACATTAAGGATACAAAAGGAAGGAAGAAAAAAAACCCTCACAAGGGGAGAAGAGGGAAAGGATGAGGTTATCTTAACAGCAGAAAGACAGAGCAAACTTTTTCTTAGAGCGGGACTTCCTAGCACCTAGCTCTGCGCTGTACCTGCCCTGTCTCGTGTTCTCTTCCCCCAGACCAGCGCCCCACACACCCACCCACCGTGTGCCCCCAAGATCCAGTGTTGCTATTCCTTACTCTCCCTTCTAAACCTCTGGGCTTCTGAGCACACTGTTCCCTCTGCCCAGAATGCCCTTCCCCTCACTTCCTCCATGCAACACTCCCGGGAGAACTCCCATCCTTCCAGGCCTTTTGTGTTCCTGACAATGTCTTCCCGCTGACCACAGGCAGCATCACACAGGGCCCGGCAGACCCCTAGAAGCCCAGACTTCTCTCTTCAGCCACTAGCCACACACCCCTGTAATTTCTGGCTCCCAGGTCGTCCCACCTCCTATCTGAGGATGCCCTCGAGGGCACGAATCCGCAGGCGTCTTGGTGTCCCCGGCACACAGCACCAGGCCAGGCGGATTGGACATACCCAACAAATATTGTTGAATAAATTAGCGAACGAATAAGTTTCTCCCAGGAAGATCTACAGATAAGAGGTTTTCTTAAACACAAAACACGTACCAGAACTCATTGCAGGGGTGAGGTTTACAGGTATCAGACCCACACCGCCCCCTCCCCCCCGCCACCCAGGGCAGTCTGCCGGGATAGTGGCGCTCAGCCTGCCATTTGCTCAAGCAAATTTCTCCGCTGCCTCGCTCGCTCCAGCAAACACCTGCTCTGCTTTTTACTCTGCTGCTTACTTACGGTCTTCAGAGAGTGACCTCTACTACGTGTCGGAACTCAGGAAGGGGGAGGGAGGGGTGCAGGAGAAGTGTATTCACCTACGGCTTGAGTCCGAAGCCCAAGCAAGCGTCATCGTGGCTTCTCGTGCTTTGATCCAAGGAGAAGAGAGTCTTGGCGCAGGATGACCCAGGCGGAGGAAGCTGACTCCGGACCCGAGTCCACAGGCGGGGAGAAGGGCAGCGAGCTCTTCCCTTGCGACATCCGGAGATGAACGGGCTCAGGTATGTGCACATGGCTGTCACCACGGGGTCAGGGGGTTGTGTCTTAGACACTTCCCTGCCTGCAGATCCCATGGGGAGGCCGAAACCCCAGAGGGGGCTGACCGCAGCACGTAGCCGTCCGGCTGGTTTTTGAACAGCTGCCAGACAGCAAAGATCAAATCTCAGGAGACAAGCACATGGTCCTCTGTCATCTTGGCCCAGACGGCTAGTCCACACCTCCCCCTTCCTCCGCGTTCCCCGGGAGCAGGGCAGCTGGCTGTGGTGTCCGTCCAATGGGGCATTTCTAGCCAAAGCAGGCTCTCAAGGGGGTCACGTAGAGCAGGTCGGTCATTTCCTCGCTCGGAGCCCCTCCTGGGGGTCATACCCCTGCCTCCAGACCCCAATATGACCCGGAGCTGAAGCAGGAAGGGCACTACTTTCTCTCTGGAGAGGCAGACAGGTGAGAGTCAGGTTCTTGGCTCTGCCCCCAACAAGCTGTGTGACATTGGGCAAGTTGCTTAACTTCTCAGAATACAGGCTTCTTTATTCGTCAAATGTAAATCATTGCTACCATGCAGAACTGTGAAAGCGCTCAGGATAACCTGTGTAGGACACCATCGGGGCATAGCATGCGGTCAAGGAACAGAAGCTGTAACTTACGGTATTTACACGGAGTGTCTGACGATAAGCCAGAAGGGCTGTCTTTCATGGTGTCTGTTCTCGGCTGAGGCTCGTCACGAACAGCATTACTGGAATCCCCGGCCCCAGCCACAAGCAGCAGGGACACGGTGACACACACGCCTGTTGGTGCCCAAGAGACTCTGGGACAGGCCCACGTGGGGCCCTGCCCACGACAGTCAGGCTAACATAAGACGAGCTTTGGCCTCACCCCGAGACACACAGGAAATGCCAACATCCACCCAGAACTGTTCTCCTCTCGCTTCCCCAGACTACCACCGCGGGGTTGTTTTTAGAGCAAAAATGAAGGTCCCTGTCCCCATCCCGTCGGTAAATCCCCAGGCCAGCCCCCCGCATCATGAGAACAGCGATAATCCTCGCAAGCACAGAGTTAGCTGTGGGAACGTCAGGGGAATGTGGCGACCTCCCCATGTGGGTTTTCAGGGTGGGACACAGGGGGATCCAACGGGCCATCTCCATCTGCCTGGGGACACCTGTGGCTTTCACGAGCTGCGACCGCCTCCCATCACAACTGGAGATGTACTCTGTCAACAACCGGTGAGTGGGTGCGTGGGTGCGTGTGTGTGTGTGTGTGTGTGTGTGTGTGTGTGTGTTTTCTGAAACTGTACCCCGCTCTCTCCCACACTTTGTCACACTGGCTGCAAAGAGACCTCAGACGGCAATTCCTCGGGAGAAAACAGCAGTCCGGTCAGCCAGCTCTAGAAAGATAATGGCTTTGCCACCCGGTCCCCTCCCTCAGACACCTGGCCCAGCAGAAAGTAAGTAACACCCCCCTGGCTGAGTCGGGTCCCCACATTCCCCCGCCATGTGTCTGCCTTCCTCCTGCCACCCACCAGGCCATGAGCCTTCATCACCCTGGTCATCCTCGCCAGCGGCCCGGGCCAGAAGGCACGCATGCTCCCTGGATGACGGATTCTGCTTTAAACGAAACTCGCTGGCACTCCAGTGTCACCAGTGGTCACCTCGGGCCCCGGCCCAGGAGGCCTGCCCCTGCAGAGTCAAATGAAAGGCCTTTTTCTTCTCTAAAGGATCTGAGGAACCACAGTGGCAAGGAGACAGAAGGCACTCAGGCGGGGGAACCCCAGAAGTCACCCCCCAGGCCTTTCCGCCTGCCCTGGAAGCCTTGCCCTTCCTCTGCTTCTCCCCACCCCCACCCCAGCCCTCCCTTCCCGGGAGACACGTTGTCTGCCTGATGCCCTGGGTCACCCCCTCTGGCTCCTTCCGCCTTCACGGGTGAGGATTCTGATTCTCCACGCACACGATGCACTTTCTCTCTCTCTCACACACACACACAAGTCCGTGGAAGCCATGTTCTTCCTCAGTGGAAATGAGATTCGGAGGAGACTTTGTTCCGTGTCTCATGACCACTATCGTGCACACTCGTTACCGAACACTCTGCTCCCTTATCCAGAGCTTCTGGTTGTTTCTTGTGTAGTTTTGGAAACAGGAAGTGGATCCCATGACTTCTGGAGGAAGAAACCCGCAAAGGTCCAAACCCGAGGTCCTTGGCGATGGGATGCGCGACCCTCTCACTGGCCGCCCCCCGTGCAGGAGCGAGGAGGGGGCATCGGGGAGGTGAGGTTGGGGCGGCGGGGACACAGCCACTCAGCAAATCGTGTCAGAGTCCGGCTCAGGCTTCAATGCTTGACACCGGGTGACTTTGGGCACAGGAACCATGGTCTGTCCGGGTGTCCGTTTCCCACCACGGGGACCATGAGAATGCCTCTGTCGTTGGGGTTTTGTGAGAATTCACTAGAATAACCTAGGTAAAACCCTTGTCCAGTGTGTGCCTCGTGGGAAGCATCGAAGAACTACCAGCTTTTAAGAATGTGTTTTCCAGGACTTCAGCTGTCCTCACACCAAGCCTAGGGACTGGTGGACGTTTCTGGATTTTCTGGATAAGAAAACCAAAGCCGAGAGGGTTGTGTGATTCCCCACAAGAACACAGAGCTGGCAACAGGAAAAGCTGGACTGTGAGTTCTGGTCAGTGTGGCTGCAGAATGCTGTCCTCCCCACCCCTGTCCTGCCTTGCGGGCCACCAGAGGCACAGGACACCTGAATGCCATCTGGGCCTTCATGGCTCCATTTTCTTTGTCCCTGTCTCCTGCCTTTTCTTCCCAGAGTCCTGAGAAACCGCAGGACCCGTCGTGCCTCCTTGAGGCAGCCAGGCAGGGTGGCAGCAGCAGGGAAAAAATGATAAAAGAGAGAAAGAAGACAAATAAAAGAACATTTCCCTTCTCCTGGTGCCCTGCTGCCCTCAGGGTAGGGGACCAAGCAATGCCCGTTTCTCTGACGCTTTTTGCTTCCCTTTGCTACTCTAGGTGGGAGCACGAGCTCGCCGGGTCCCGGGTTTAGACAGGCCAGTCGGCTGGGGCAGCCTGGAGGGACCTGGGCGGACCCGGGAGAAACAGCCTGACACCCCTTCCAACCCACACACACGCGCACATGCATACACACACACGGGCACACGCACACATGCATACACACACACACATACACGGGCCTTCTGCTTCTGCCCTGGGATCCACCAGAGGGACAAGGGCCTGCATCGGTAACCCCAGAGCCCCGCCTCTCAGTCCCAGGACCCTGGGCAGCCTGGCGAGGCTCCAGCCTATGCACAGACGCCCTGAGGCTCCGCGAGGCCTGCTCAGAGCTCAGAGGGCTGAGCACCCTGCTCTCGGTGTTCCAAGAGCTGCTGAGTTCAGCGGGGCTGCTCTCTCTGCAAATCGAAACGGGGCCGCCCGGGGCCTTCCAGACGTGCCACATCTTCCCAGCTCTGCCCTGCCTGGAAGCCGTGGTCCAGTCATCCTCCCCCAAACGTGGGCAGCACGGCTCCCAGGAGACCCTTCCACGCAGACACGTCGCCTAGAGCCGTCTGCACATAAAAGTTCCGGTCGACCTGCTTGAGTGCAGCTTTCCAAGAGCCGGCTTGCCCGAGGGAAAAAAGGACTCGGTGTATTACATTTAAAAGCAGGCAACCAAACCCAGGAATCGACAGATCCCGTGTCGGGGGGCAGATCCGTGCGATGACAGTATCTATCTTAGAAGAAGGTCCTGAAATAGTCATTTCTGGGTGAAAAATGATGAGTGCTTTCTAGTTCTCGCTCTGCATTTGTCATTGTTTCATTAAAGCGCCCTGGGGAGGTCTGCAGTCAGATACCAAGTCCATTTTTAAAGAGCTTCCTTTCTTCCTCTTAATTTCTTTCTTGCATTCCCCACTAGCCAGTCTGCTTGCCCTCTATATGCAAACACCTTTCTCTCCCAAGCACCAGCCCTAAAGAAGGATTTTTTTTTTTTTTTTTTTTTTTGGAGCAAAGTTAGAGCCACAGGAAAGCTTTTGAAAAGAGGAAACAGGCCAGCCGGGCCATTTTTCCCTTCAATTCCTCCCCAAAATCAGAACACAGATTAGATTAAATTGTAGTTCTTGCACACCCCTGGGCGGGGGGCTTGGGGCCATGGACCCCGTAAATGGCTATTAGTAAGACCGCATTAACATGGTGCAGGCAAGGAAACAAAACAAGAAAAAATGAAACATGTTGGACGCAGAATAAAGTCAGCGGCCGGGAGCCTCTGCGCGGCCAGGACAAGGGCAAGGGCTAGAGTCCCAACGCTCCAAGTGGCTTCCATGCGGGGTGTGGGTGGGGAGGCGCTGGGCCCCGGGTGGAGGCTTTGTGCTCTCTGGAGAAGCGGCCGGGGGTCCCTGCCGCCAGCAGAGCCAGGCAAAGCCGCCAGGCGCCCGGGGAGACCAGCGGCACCGGCCAGGGCCGCCAGCAGCCCCGGCGCCCTCGCCCGGTGGAACCACAGCGCCATCAAGCGGCCACCCGGAGAACGGCTGCACAGGGCCCAGGAAACAGGTCCAGGACTCCCAGCCCCACCGGCTCCGGGGGAGGGTCTGGAGCAAGGTCTGGGCCTGCCAAGCTGTCACTCCAGGCCCGCAGGCAGGAGCCTGCAGACGGACACCAGCTGTCCAGGCGCACCACACAACCCTGGGCTGGCCAGGAGCTGGCTGCCCTGGAAGATGCTCGGGGGGCTGCTTTTGCAATCCCAGACCCACCCTCTCCTCCAGCGACTTGCTCCAAGTTATAAAGGACTGTTTCCCAAGAAGAGTGGGGCCAGAGCAAAGGGGAGATCTGATGGGCAGCAGGCACACCCTCAGGGGTCGTGCAGAGACACACAACAGCAATGAGTCAGGCTCGTGGCTCCAGGCCTGAGCAGCAGGCCACTCGGTACGTGTTCCCGGAG